TGTGATCTCCACAATTTAATACAAATATTCATATATATATATATATATTTATCTATTTATCATTATTATATTATTACTTTTATATTTTAAAAAGTAAATATAAAACTATTATTCTTATTTATTTTATATTAGATAATTAAATTTTTTAAATATAATTAATAAAATTTAAAAATAAATTATTAAAAATTAATAAAAAATCATAATTATATTAATATGACATATTTTTTAATATTTTTTTCTTTTTACAATTTATAAGAACTTTTAATTTATTTACATTCAAACAAAATTTGTCCGCAGTCAGTATAACAATTGCTCCAGATTTAAGTTTGTTCACAAACATCATCATTCCAATTGGTTGCACATTTTGTGGAGATCGAAATCATGGATTTTGCAATTAGGATTCTTCATTAATGATCACCAGGTTGGATTATTCCGATAACTTTTTGGAGTTTACTCTTGGGTAGAATTCGTCATCCTCATACATAGTTTAATCCAATTCGTTAATCGTAGGGCGACGCACATTCCATTGCTTTGATCCATTATTCTGATATCGACGCCGTTGAGATCTTCGTGTTTTGTGGCCAGAGACGGAGTTACATGGAAACTTGGGGTCCACCCATGCCTTTGAGTCTCCACGATGGCAGGATTGGCCGCAGCTGGATAAAGAAAAGAAAGGGAGAATCAAGTGGAAAAAGCTACAGAAATGGAAGATGAAGAAGTAGGCGAAGAAGATGATAATGCAGTGATAAGTAAAGTATACTAAAAGCGAAATGGAAGAATTAAGATTAAAAAAAAGAAATGAAGAAGAAGGAAGAGAAAAAAAAAAAAACAAACGTGGATATGAAATAGATATCACAGTACAATGAGGGGAATGATTTTCAAAATTTAATCATATTCGTATAATATAATTAAAATTATTTTATATTATTAATTTTTATATAAGAACAATAATAGTAGATATAATTTTTAATGTTATAAAATGAATAAAAATGTAATATTATTACTTTTATATTTTTATTATACAATTTTTTTTTATATAATTATATCTTATTTAAATTATATTATTATAAAAAAATAGGATGTTTAAAATATATAATTAACTTAATAAGATTTAATATATTTGTTCAATATACTGAGTGTGTGTTTACTTAGTTTTAATTTTTAGTTTAATATATTTTCTTACATGAAATATTGTAAATTGTGTCAATAATATAAAAAATAATTTAAATTAAATTATTAATTTTTTTTAAAAGAATAACATAAATTATACATATTGAGAATTGTATCTATAAAAAATTTATCAAATAAACATATTCATTAACCCTTTCTACTTTTAGCCACCAAGTCGAGCACTCTAGCTCCGTCATTGGTTGTGGCTTTCTCCGTCCATTAACTTTAGTAATAGCCGATGTTAAAGTTTGGTAACAGCCTATTATAAATTATGAAATTTAATTCCGCCATAAATATTTATTTGAATTTTTTTTTTTTATTTTGCATGCAAAATTTATACATGCATATGTCATATATATATATATATAGATATGTATCATATATCATATAATAATACAAATTCATTTATATAAAAAAATTGAAAAAAAAAATACAAAATAAAAAATACAGAATTGTTAGATCCACCGATATCCTATATTAGATAAGAATATATGCATAATTCAAATTTCCTATAAAAAAAAATAGTTAACAAATTTTAATATTAATATAAAACAATTCGTTTACTTTCAATATAAATATTGTGAATATAGTTTTTAATATTATATTTTATAAAATATATTATTAAGTATATTATATATTGATAATTGTTATTAAATTATTAATTATTTAATATTAATATAATTGTATGCATTAAAATTTAAATCCCTAAACTAAAATTAAATATCATATATATTGGAAGAAAATAAAATTTTGATATAATAAATGTGTGATATTTAACTATGCACATAGGTTAATTTTTGTACAATAAATATCAACCATTAATGTCGGCTTAAAATGGAAGATATCGTACAAATATTACATGCATAAATAGAGTTATAATAAATTTGACAACAAAATAAATTAATCTCGTAAATAAACGAAGTATTTAAATTAATATCTTCCGATAAAGGAAATAATATAAAGATCTTTGTGAGAAAAGAAAGACACAACCAAATTTTTTACGAATGGAAAACGATATCCGATGGAAAATGAAAGACTATAAAATATTCATGTTGGCCAAGGGTAAGTCTCTCTTAATTCTTTACAATGTTCTTCATTTGACGCCGAAGTTCATTTGAATACTTGCGCAAGGGTAGGTCTCTTTTAATTCTTTACAATGTTCTACATTGTTCTTCGTATCATTCGAAGCGTTATTCGTCGAAAAGTCACCGATTTGGACAAATGATCCAATATTGGTTGAAAAATCGATAAAGTTAACGTTTTTCGTCGTATGCCCAAGCCAGAGGAAGAATCAAAGCTCCAAAAGCCGTTGAAAGATCCGTCAAGCCAAAGACAAGCCTCCAAAGTTTCTTTCAAAGCTTCAAGGCGTTCATTCCGTTCTTCGTTAAAAGTATCAACCCGGCCCCTCTTTGATCCAAAAGTCAAATAAATATGCTGCCAAAAGCGATATGGAGTGTTAAATCCACTTTCTCAAAGATCAAAACATCGGATCGTGAAAAGAAGATATCAAATCCAAAGCAACGATCAAATTGTCTGCATGGAGACCAAAGCCCTCCAAAGTACGGCAAAGTCAAACTGGAGTACAAAAATCATCTCCATAAAGATCAAAGTCTTTAGTGAAAAGTTTTTACTTACAGGACTATTTTCAGACGAGATTTACTTAAAGTCTTAAAAGGAAGTTAGATATAGAACTAAAAAAACAGTTTACATATTAAGGAGATAGTCATTAACATAATATAAAAGCGGAGGTTCGTGTTTGAGTTTCACATTGTTCCTTCACAAAAATTATCCACATATAAGATTCTTGTGGTGTAAATTTACTTTATATTGTAGTGTGTTGACATACATGTTCGTGATATTTATGAATTGAAGACAATAAAAAGATTGGACCTTAAATATATATGTTTTATATTATTATAATTATAGAAAGTAAAATCAAATATTTAAAAATTTAAGATTTAGTAATAAAATTATATTTTATGATCAAAATATAATTAATTTGTTTTGTTGTGTTCTCTTATTTTGGGATTTTTTGCGTTTTTAGGAATAATAAAAATTAGTTAACTTAATTTATATAAATTGATGTAATATTGTAAATAAAAATAAATTATTAATAAAAGTGAATTTATACAAATTCAATATATATATATATATATGTTAAAATTCTATAATTTTAAATAAATTCTCTAATATATTTTATTTTTCAAAAGCTTATTCTAATAAATAGTATCATTAAAGACACTTATTAGTAAAAAAAAATAATATTATCTATATATTTTGAAAATTAATAAATTAAATAGTAAAAAAAGTAAAATAAATAAATAAATACATAATTACTCAAATTAATAAATAAAAAATTTAAATTAATATAAAAATAATTTATTCTAAAAGTAAATATTTTTACGTAAAATCTTTAATACAACATTTTTATAAAATTTTATATGTTTGCTTCCACAAAGATTTCCTCTTTTAGCGATGACACCCTTTTAACAAGAGGCCGAGAATTTGTGTTGTGATAATATATTTTACATTCAAAATATATATCGATAACTATTCATTGACCGTAATATTGACAATTATATTTTATAAATATAACATGTTACTCTAAAATGAATATTAATATGCAACGTATTTACTATTATCGTGTAATAATAAAAACAATTTGCCGATAATTATTTCTTTTGAACTGACTTTTTAAAGTACTGTATTTTTTTAATTAAAATTATTGTTGTATTCCTAATAATAAATAGGAATGTTAAATAGGGAGGGTCAAACCCGGAGTTGTTTTTAAAGGGGCGAGTTCGAGTCTAAAAATATATTTTGGATGGATTGTGAATTTTAAGTATTAAACTCAATTGGGTTTGGGACGGAAATACGAGATTTACAAAAAAACCGTTTACCTCATACTCGAATTCGGATATTTTTGATAATTATTAAAATAAATATATATTTAAATAATTAATAAAAAAATTAAACATAAAACTAAACCATAATTCCTAAATCAAATTTGTCTTTCATTTTATTTTTTTACAATTCTCTTCGTAATCGAGACTATTGTTGTGGCTTCGCTCGCTGTTGACTGCCATTACTGCAGACAACCATTAATATTTGATTATTCTTGCTTTTGGAACTATAATTTTTTTGATGTTTTAATATTTTTTTAGTATTAAATTGTTAAAATAAAATATATTATTTTCCGTTGATTTTAAAAAAAAAAGAATTTATCAGGTTAATCTTTAATCCTTCTGGTTCAGAGCACGGCGGATCTAAAGTCTAATATTTTCTAAAGGGCGAGTCCAGAGACTTGCATACTTATCCCAAACTCGCTGGTTGTTATCCCTAATAATAATAATTAATCTATATATTATATTTGAACTAAAATTTAAAAATATAATTGTATTTTTATTTTTAATGTATATATTATATATAAATTATATTTAAAATACCAAAATTTAAAATATAAATATTTATTTATACTAAAAAATTAAAATCATTAGATCTATTTTATATAATTCTAAAATAAATCATAAAAGTAATATTAAATTATAATTTTACTTTTAATTTATATATTTTTCGTAAATCAAGATATTAAAATACTACTAATTCATCAAATTACAAATATATAAATATATTATATTTGATAATCTAACATTTAATAAATTATAAAAATTTATTATTGGTCTGCCCGGTCCATATTGGGTTTGCCCGTCAGCATAACTGCCCAGCCCCAATTTTGAGTTCCTTGCGGCATCATCATCGTTCCAATTGGTTATGAATTTTGCAATTAGGGTTTTTCATTATCATTCGTCATCTCTGGTCATGCAGATTAAGGTTTGATTAATGGATAAGTTTTTTTTGGACTTGGATAGAATTCGTTACGTGTGGGTCCTTCTCTTCTTCTTCATCCCATTAATTTCGCTGCGAATATCCCCTACCAAAATTCCTATTCTCCCTCTTCATAAATACTTTAATCAATTCGTCCACTGTGGGACTACGCACATTCCTCTTTGATCCATTCTTCATCAGATATGGATGTCGTTGAGATCTTCCTGATCTGCGTTGTAGCTTCCTCTGTTTTGGTTTTCCTCATTCTCGATCACTTAGATTCCGTACAAAACCGCAGCAAATGCTGCGTGCCCGGCGAAATTGAATCGGAAATTGGAAAAGAAGTCACCGCCGGACATGGAGATTTTCAGAAATTCGATGAAAAAACTGTGGTTGCAGAAAAAGTCGAAGAAGAAGAAGAAGCAGTAAAAAGGGGAGATTCTACTGAAAACAGGGGCGGTTGCGCGAAATTAGGGTTTCGCAGTGAAGAAGAAGGGGAAATTGGGGATGATTGGGAAGGGATAGAGAGTACTGAATTGGAGCAGATATTTGGAAAGGCAATGGCGTTTGTGAACTGCAACAGCAATGGCGATCATCGATTATCATCCGCCATGGATATGGACCTCTACGCCCTTCAACAAGTTGCTCTTCAAGGTCCCTGCCATGGATCACAGCCTATGGCATTGAACCTCAACGCTCGTTCCAAATGGTAATTCATCGACGCCATTGATGATCCGAAATTACCAATCGAATGCATTGTTTAATTTGTTATGTTGATTGATGAATGAGCTTTGAGTTTTGAGTTTTGTGCAATGTCAGGAAAGCATGGCAGAGGCTCGGCGACATGAGCCGGGAAGGCGCGATGGAGAAGTACATTGAAACTCTGTCCGAAGCAATTCCTCAATGGAAGGTTTGATCGATTTATTCATTTTTGTTTGAAAGAATCCGAAAGTTCATTGGATTTTAACTTGGTTGAATATCGTTGTTTATGAATAGGAAGAAGTCGGCGAGGCAGCTTCTGCTCGAGCTTTCGGAGGCGTAAGTTGAGGTAAAAAGGCCCTTTTGTTAATGTATATTTTTTTCGTACATTGAAGATGTTTGATCATAGTTTTGGTCGAAAAAAGTTGCTTTAGTATGTCGTAATCGTGCATCAATTTGGGGGTTACGAAGGTTTTTTGTTTTTGCAAATTGGATGTTTAAAGAACTCTAAATTTCCTTTTTTTTTTTTTTTTTTTTTTTCTTAATTTTGCTTTTTTTTGTTTGGATTTATTGATAAGAAAATTTATGCATGATTATTATTGGATAGGAATTTAGGTATAGATCTCTTTATTAGAAAATTTGTTTTATTGTATTGTTTAATTAACTTCCCATTCGACATTGTGTTATATTTAATGAAGCACTTGTAATTTGGAGTAAAGTATATATAAAAAAGAAATTAATTTTCATGTTGATCGAGTCAAATCAATATAATACTTATTTGATCAAATTAATACATTTTATCAAAGCAGTGCATGATTAGGCATATTCTAACAGTATATAATATAATTTCACAGCTATATTATATCATTAATTTCGGTTTAATAAATATATTTATACAATATAATATAAACCGTACAATAGATATTTCTATATAAGACTAAATTTGACCAAATTCGCATCCACCCTGTATGTATATATATATATATCATTTGTTACGAAGGACTTTGTGTAATTTAGTACTAAATTTGGTATTGGTATAACTATTAGGAGTGAGCATTGGTCGGATCAAATTGAAAAAATCGATTAATTGATTTGGTTCACTACAAAATCAAATTCATAAATTTCTATTTCGATTTGGTTATGATTTTCAACTTTTAATTTTGGTTAATTGAAAAAAATCTTAACTTTTAAAAATAATAAAAAGATTAGATTTTAATAAATAATATATATTATAATTTTGATTGTATATTGAAAATATATATGAATAAATAAAAGTTCGGTTTACTCTGTTTTAAACCGAACTGAACTAGTTTGGTTTGTTTTATTTGATTTCGAAAAACTTTGGTTCGATTTCAATTTCAATTTTTATATATTGAAAACCGATCATTATTGAAACTTTGGGTCAGTTTGAACTGAAGACTGAATGCACACCACTAACAATTGTATTGTATAAAAATTGCTGAGTATTTGCTAATTAAGACTAAATAATACATATTGATAGTTGTTTAATCTATTTCTTTTGAGCAACATAAGTTTATGAAATATTACATTATATAGTTAATTAATTTGATTAGTTGATTTAATAATTATAATACAATATATTGTTTTAAATATTTTTTATTTAATAAAATATTGAAATTAATTTTTTTTTATCCTAACTTTTTAATATTGAATATATTATAGCGGCGGTTAAGATGTTGATTTGGTCAAATCAATATAAAGTAATAATATCATACTGTACTATTAAACTAGCCTATGGCGGGTAATTATAGAAATTGTGATATTAATTTAATTTTATATTTTAAATAATAAATTTTATTTTGACAATAAAACTTTGTATAAAGATAACAAAATTAATTTATCTAAAAAATAAATTATAAATAAAAATACTGTAACTAAAACCAAATAAAGAATATTAAGTAAGTGAATTAAAATTTCATAAATATATACTTCAATTTAAACCAAAACATAATAGAAATAAAAAATAATTATTCATAATCACTCTTAAATTAAAAATTAAAATAAATTTGAAATAAGTTTGTTGTTAGTTAGGATTCAGTTGAAAACAATGTTCAAACTTAAGTTAGATTTAAAATATTTATTTACAATGTTATTAAATGAAATATTACAATAAATTTTGAAATAAATTCATATTATTGATAAAAAAAAACAAAAAATAAAAAACAAAAACAAATAGACTAAAAAAAGTAAAAATAAATATTGCAGATTATTAAATAATAAAAATTATAAATTACAAAATCCATTCTTAAAAGTAAAGTAAAATATAAGTTCGATTAAAACTATTTATTAAAAAATCATATTAGATAAAAACAAAAGACTCGAAATTTGAATATAATTTTAATTTTCAACAAAAAAAGAACTTATTAAAATAATAATATTCTAAACCAAATTAATTAGAAAAAATAAGTATAGAATAAAAATAAATAAGAATTGATTAGTAAAAAATAAAAATAACAAAAAACAAATAAAAACATACATACAAAATAAAAATGAAAGTACTAAAATTAAAATATAGTAATTTTATAAATTAGGAAAAAAATATTTTAATAAAATATTCAAAACCAAATTAATTAAATAATAATGAATAAAAAATTGATTAGTAGCAAATAAAAATAATACAATGTATAATTAAAACATACATAGATAATAAGAATAAAAGTAATAACTAAAAAAATATTTATATATATATATTAAAAGTTACCATAATTTTCTTTATGATTTTTATAAATATTCTTTCAAATTAGAAAATTACAAATTTAAACTTAATCTAAAATATTGAAAAATATACTATAATATAATAATTGAAATCAAATCAATTAGAAAAAATAAATATTCAATAAGAATGAAATATATTTTATTATTAGAAAATAAGAATAATAGACATTATAAATTTAAATATAATTTAAAATATTGAAAAATATGCATAATATAATAATTGAAATCAAATCAATTATTAGTAGAAAATAAGAATAACACAATAGATAATTTTAAAAAATCTATATACAATAATAATTGAGTATTAGAATATTATTTTTAGAAACTAAATAAAATAGTAAGTACATACATAATAAAAATGAAAAATATGTATACAATAACAATGAAGTATTAGAATTACTCGAAACTAAATAAATTTGTAAATAAATATAATAAGAATAAAAAAGAATCGATTACTAAAAAAAAATTAAAATTAATTTAATAATATTATTATACATAATAAAATAAAATAAATAAATAAAAAGACAAAAAAATACTATACTTGATTTTTTTTTCTACTTTTTTTTCTTTTTTTCTTTCTTTTTTTTTTTTGAGATTTTATATATATATATATAGTATGGATTAAAAAATTAATTAGTGAACAATTTTGTATAATTTAAAATTTATAAGTCAAACAAAACAAATTTATTATAAAATTTTCACTAAAGAAGGATAAAAAATTATATACATATATAAAAGAGATAATGATAGTTTACACGTGGAAAATTATTCACTTCTTTTGGACGATAACAAATTATATGCGTATAGTAAAATACAAAAAAAAAATAATTACGTGAAAACTTCCAGTTAAAAAAATAAAAAATTAGGCGTTAATATATAAAATATAAGAATATTTAAGAATACATATAAAATGCTCAATCATCATTAAATCAACCAACAAAAACCAAATATTTAAGAAAAATAAAGATAAAAAACAAACCTGAAAACTTTGTCATTTTGGTCGAACTATATGTATCCAATCAATAATCCAAACATTTGAAAAAGTAACGAATTACGAACACTTTTGAAAATTTCTGATTGATCCGACGGTCAATGAAGTGGGATCACCGTTTTTACGAAACTGTGCAGTGTTGGACGAGAATCTCATAATAATTTTTGTTAGGACGATTTTGGCTTAATCTCTTAGGTATATATAGAAATACAAAACCCTAATTTTATACATATTTTTGTTATTTATTATCTCGATAAATCTGAATTTGGTTAGATTAGTTGTAATCCTAACAAAATTTTAACTAATTATCCAAACTTATTATTTAAAAAAAAATTCCAAAATTATGAGAGTGCACGAATTAAAGTGCCTTGTGCTATATATATATAAATATATGATATATGATTAGTATACCATATTTACTGATGGAAAAAATATTGAGTTATCAAAATAGCATGCATTTAAAAAAAATTCAGTATACCTAAAATTTCCGTATGATTAGATAACTATATCGAACTAACTATATCGAATTTTTTTCGTACGGTAACAATATATAGTTTGATATTTTTAGTATATATCGAAAATAAAAGAAATTTCAATACTTCAGTATATAACGAATTTTTGGTACGATATCAATATATATTTTTAATATACCGAAAAATTTGTTACCATATATAGTACAATCAAGTATATTTTTATATAATATACAATTAGGTATCATAGTATAATATTTTATCCGAAAATACCGAAATTAAAATAATTTTATAATTTTAGGAAAATGTTAAAAAATTAATTATTTTTGTATCAATATACCAAATAATTATCGATATAATATCAAAACTGTATATAATATTTTCAGTATATAATTCCGAAAATGCTAAAATTATATATAAAGTTCAGTACAATGAAATTTGATATTTTCTACTCTTACTTATTGATGATAATAATAATGAATTTTATTTTTATCTTTTTGAAGCAAAAAAAGAAAAAAAAAATTCAAAATCAAATCTCAGTGTTAATTAATTTTTCCAACTATAAAAATATCAAATTTTTTTTTAAGTTACATTAAAAATTAATTTAAAATTGTAAAGATAACGCCTAATTCAAAATACTAATAGGCATAATAATAAAGTAACGGTACTCAATTTTTTATTATTTTACAAAAAATTCCTTAAAACATATTAAATTTAATATTTTTATATTTATATTAAATTTAAATTAATTTTATATTTAAAAATATCAAAATAATACTTATTTATATTACACAAATAATTATTTTAACCTAAAAATTTTACAATTCAAATAGAGGGAATTGTTGACGATGCTGAATGTTGTACTTTAGCAATGTTTACCAAAGAATTCGATTACATGCACTCGACAATGATTCTTAAAGATATACTTGAAAGGAAGAAGGCTATTAGAGTAAGAAGTTCAATTTCAATGGACAATATTTCAATATAGGTTTTTATTATTCAGATTATTCTTTCTCTCCAAAATATCAAATTAAATAATTATTTTTTTATTATACTATAAATTTATTTTGTATTTAAAACATCACATCAAACTAATATTTAAATTTAACTTTTTACTGTTCATAAATCCAAGCCCAAAACCCCAAAACCCACAAACAAACATGTTACTTTTTTGACATGGTGGTGTGGGGGTTGGACGTGTAACCGTGAGGTCATGGGTTCAAACCCCCGACGCCTCAGGTCACCTGCCACACATGGTTCGTTTAATGTGACTTGTCTGTTGGGCCTAGTTTGCAGGATATTAGGTTCGACGGAATTTACCCAATGCGCACTTTCGGGTAGCGGTTAATAAAGTATAAAACCATGATGAAAGAAGCAAAGAAGGTTATAAGCCTAGTAGGAAGACTCATGTATCTCGTGCACACTCGAGCGGATCTTGCATATACAGTAGGGTTAATTTCAAGGTTCATGCACAACCTTACAATGCAACATTTTTGTTGGGGACTCTCCGTTTTCAGATAAATAAATAATAGTTGTGTTTTCTAACAGTTTGAACTTTCAGATGAGACGGTCATTTTGCATCCGACATGGTATCAAAGTCTGGCTAAGTTTCGAGTTTGAGCCCACCGTTCCCATCTGCGGCCTATGCATGTGCAAAAGAATATGTACTGATTGACTACGTCTAACGGTGGTTAAAGAAGTTTTAGTGATTTAGATCATAAGCAATCTCAAGCCACAATATTATTTTGTGACAATGTTAAAGCAATGGCCATGGCAAATAATCTAACTAGGCATGAGAATTTAAATGAAGGGGGCATATTGAGAATGATCTAAATCGACCATTAAATTCATAATTAATTAAGTAGATCACATATATAACAACAACAAAAAAAAAAAAAAAAAGAAAAAGTAATGGGTTTTAATAAAAGGGAAGGGTTACGACATTGTATCGATATTTCAAATTAGCACACATAAAATATAAAAATAATACATATCTTTGTTATGCACAACATATATTGTTTATAATAAAAACATATGTTGTTTGTCATAATTATAGCACATATTATATAAGAGTATGTGTTGAGCTACAATCAATTGATGCATACGCTCTGTTTATATTATATTAATATAAATGATATACTGTCGTAGTAATATCGCGTGTAAGTAATTAATCAAATAAATAATTTCCTTAATTTCTTAAGCTTTTCTATTCCTCCCCGTTCTATGACATTTATGTACTATTTAATACCCATTTGTTCATGAATAAAGTATGCACCATATTTTAAAGTCAATCGACTGTCTTTTGCTTTGCTATCTCTTTCAAAGATATATATATTGCAATTTTCAATTTTCTCTTTTTGTTTTGCTGTGTTTTGAAATTAATTTAAATTTTTTATTTAAATAATATTTTAATATTATGTTTTTGAAAAAATAAATAATTTATTTTTATTAAAAATTGTAACAAATAAATAGTATAAATTTTGATTTAAAATATTAAAAAAAAACAAACCTAATAAATTTTTTTATTTTTTTTTTTTATTTTAAGTAATTATGAAATACAATTGCAACTTTTAAATTATAAAATGCACAACAATCATAGCAATTAAGTACTCCCTCCTCCCTCCTCTGATGACTCAGTTAGTATTTTAGATATTGTAGATTAATAATTTATTAATAATAAATTATATATTATTTTATTATTTTTAATATGAATAGTATTATTAGTATTTTAATATTATATCTCAATAAAATAAATTTTGAATATCATTTTGTAGATAATAAAATTTTATATAATACAAATAAATAAATAAATACTTATTTATTTATAATTAACATAAAATTAATTTTATAAAAAATAAAGAGTTTAAATATAGATAAAACTATTTTTTTTATTGAGAATATAGAAATAAAGAGTTTTGAGGATTTTAATTAAGTTAATATATATTTATTAAATATGTTTAAGATGAATAAATTTATTAAAAATAGAAAATAGTCATCACTTAAAAAATATATATATATATATAATATGGTCAGCTAGATTATTCCAACGTTTAGGATTTTTGAAATTTCCAACATAATTTTATAATTATTACTTTTTACATTCGACAAATTTAGTCTAATTGATATGTTCTTTTATCTATCTAATCTTATTTGGTATATTTTTATTTTTAGTAAATTATAATTATTTAAACATATTTAACAAATATAAATTAATTTAGGTCAGTTTGAATTGATTTAAAAATAAATAAAACAAGCAATTTGATTATGTTTTTTTATATAAAAGCATTTTTTTTAAAAAAAAAAGTAAAAATAAAAATAAACTGTTTGAATATGATATAGTTGAAAATGCTTTTAAATTGTTAAAATTATCAAATAAAATATTTTAATGTAAATATATATTTTTTTTATTAAATTTTCTAATTTATTTTAAAATTTTGTAAATTATATTTAAGAATTTTAAAATATCTAGCTTAATTGAAAATATATGTATTAAATTCTATGCATAAATTATAATTTAATTTAAATATAATTTAAAACAAGAAATTTTATTTCATATATTAAATTATCTATTATATAATTAAAATTTATATTTATAAAATTTGATACATCAATTATAATAAATTTTTTTAAAAAAATAATTAATTTTTCTCTCTTGAATATTTAACTGGCTAATTCATTTTTATTCATACTTTCTGCGTACTATTATTATAATATTAATATTTTTTAAATTTCGAAGACAAATTAGCCTATTCTTCCAATGGAGGAATTAATTTTCTATATATTTAAAAAAAACATTACTTTCTTTTTATAAAGGTAATTGTATTAATCATGAATAAATATATAGATTTTTATTTATTTGTATTCTTTCTGCAAAATCATATACTATTATTGAGATATAAAAATTTTAAAATATTTAAAAATATATTTTAATTTACTTTTAATATAATATTTTAATTATTTAATTATTATTTAAAAAATATCTACCAATATCATTTATATAAAATAATATTATAACACATTAACTCACTCAACTAATGGGTTACTTTAAATATTGTATCATTAAGCAAACACGTGAGATTAAAAATAGAGGTGGCAATATCGGACGGCCTGATTTTTCCGTGCCACGACCATTAGACAATACTTCACATTTTGATATATATGCATTCATTAATATATTTATAAAAATTATTTATTTTAACTATATTTAAATTATAAAATCAGGCCGGGTCAGACACGGTCCGATTTAGGATCTCAAGCACAGTCCGATTTATTATCGTATCCGGTTAGATACAGTTCGAAAATTTTCAAATTTATTATTGTAGATCTAAGTACAATTTTTTCATGCCAAAATTGAATTAGAATTTCGGGCTGTGTCTATTTTTGCCGGCTGTAATGACTATCTAAATGGATAATACTTCCTCTCTCTACTTTGAAGGTTTACATTTGTTTTTTTTTCATGTTGGTTTTTAAATATTAATTATTGTATCAAAATGTAATACAAATCAAGAAAAAATGATAAATATTTTTATTGGTGTCTTATAATACTAATAAAACTATGTTTATAAAAAAAAAAAAAAAAAAAAAAAAAAAAAAATTATATAAATATAAAAATATTTTTTACATTAAATACATACAATGATAGTATGAGAGACAAGAACAGGAGGCAAAACCCGTGGAGGCATGCCTATAGAGCGTGTTACGCTACCCACCACACATTGACATTCACATTCACAATCTCTGAAGTCTTTCTTATCCGACTAATGTAATTTCTTAGAATTCGATCGATCTGAGGAATCATGCTTCCAATGAGTTATAATCTGTATTGTTCGATTCTGACCCCCACCCCCACCCCCACCCCCGCCCCCAATTCCAATTTATTATTGTGCACTACCACTACCACTAATTTCTTCAGAGCTACACCGTCTCCTCGCCGGAATCGGAATCGGAATCTCCGCCGAAGGATCGCCGTCGTTAGGGCGGCGCTCCAAGACCAGACTGGCGGAGGAGGAGGCAGCACGCCTGGTCAGAGCTGGGATCCGGGACTCGAAGTCCAGGTCCCCTTTGAGCAACGACCGGTCCGTCGTCGGTAGACAGTTGATTTAATTTATGTAAACGTAAATTGTTTCTTTAATTGGTGTTTGAATTAAGTAAAGCTAAAAGCAGCACAGGTAAATGAGTATTCGTCGCTCAAGGACGGGACCTTGTATTCCTGGGCTGATTTAGGTCCCGGATCATTCTTCCTGCGCGTTGGGGGACTCTGGCTCCTCACCTTCACGGTCCTGGGACTCCCTATCGCCGCCGCAAGCTTCAGCCCTGCCAAGGTACTTAATTAGTTAATTCTTTGTAATTAAGAAATTGGATTTGCTTTTTTAATTAATTAATTAATTAATTAATTGTGTAGGATCCTCTAAGGTTTGTGCTGGCTGCTGGAACAGGAACTCTTTTTCTTGTCTCACTGATTGTCCTAAGGATTTACTTGGTAACAAACAAACAAACAAACATCGTACTAATTAATATATTATGAATTCAACTAATTATGAACAAGAGATTGATCATGATCATGATCATCGATCATCCATCAATAAATGTGCACTTATTACCAATCAAGTGATAGATCATTTTGATTGATGATATGCAAATATATATATATATATATATAGGGATGGAGTTATGTCGGGGACAGATTGTTGTCGGCCGTCGTACCGTACGAGGAAACCGGATGGTATGACGGCCAAATGTGGGTGAAGCCTCCCGAGATTCTTGCCCGTGATCGATTACTCGGCTCTTACAAGGTATAACTAACTCTGTTCGTATAAAATATTATAATCAATAACTATTAATTGTTTTTTTTTAAAAAAAAATATCAAATTAAATACAATCATTTTGAAATTTTAAAAATTATAATTGTATTGTTACCATAATAGGGTTGTCGATTCATATTTTGCATATGTATTATGTTAATATAATAATATATATTTTGTGTTGGGATTATTCATATTATGTATTACACTTTCTGTCTTTTCATGTCTGTGTGTTTTTTTTCTTTTTTTTGTCTAGATAAATATGCATATTTCATTTATAGCAAATAATTTTATACATATCTTAATTTATACATTTTAATATTACAACCACAATTACTTACGTATTCAATTTATCAAAAAAATTCTTTCACCGATATAAGATTATATTCATTAAAATTTATGTTCAATCTAAACGAGCGAATATTTCGTGGACAGAGGAGTATCATATACTATATTGATTAGTATCCATTCATAAATTGTATTTATATTAGGTTAACATTTACCTTGTATTGTCTGTCTATATCTATGTGATATCGCTAAGCCAACAATTGTGTTCCATGATTAATTTGTGTAGGTGAAACCAGTCGTTAAAATGTTGAAACAAACTTTAGTCGGGACAGGGGCACTTCTTGTAACATCCGTAGCATTGTTCTTTTTCGCTACACCAGTTGAGGATTTTGTTCGAAATACATTTGTTAACGGAGACAATCCGTCTGAGATTCCGGTCAGCGGAAAATTCAAATTGCGGTAAGAATTTGACAAAAAAATATACTTAAAGAAGATGGAGACATAAAAAATAAAAAATAAAAATGTTATATATACATATATATATATGTGAATTTAATTTGATTTCTCTCATTTTTTTGATTAATTTAACTAGGAAAGAGGAACTATTAAGATTGCCTGGCGAGATTATGACCGACGATGATCTGGCGGCAGCGGCAGCTGAAGCAGCCGGCGGCCGGCCGGTCTATTGCACGGACCGATTCTACCGTGCTATGGCGGGAGGGCAATACTGCAAATGGGAAGATTTGCTTAAGTGATTGATATAAAAGTCAAAATATATTTTAGCTAAATAATATGAAATATCGTAAAGTATGTAATTTTTAAAAAAAAATCACAAAGAACACATTGTAATAAAACATCTTATTTTTTTCAACATAAAATATTACTTTTTAATATAATCGACATAATTCTTCATAAAAAAAAAAAAAAAGAATCCGACTAAAACCAAAACACTAAAAAATTACATCCAAATCAAATTCAAGCTTTCTCCTCACCATGAAATATTAGGTATAGATAAAGTCCCAATTGCAAATATAATTAAACCTGTCAATTTTTTTTTTTGGATGACGTCGGAATCCGCAGCCGTTACCCGAAAGTGCACACTGGGTAAAACCCCCAACCGCTACCCGAAAGTGCACACTGGGTAAAACCCCCAGCCGAACTTAATACCTTGTCAATATATTTTTTTTTTTCTAGATGACGTAGGAATCCGCAGCCGCTACCTGAAAGTGCACACTGGATAAACCCTCGGCCGAACTTAATGCCCTGTCAATATTTTCGAACGGTGTGAATGTAACCTCCAAGTTTCCTTACTTCAATTTTAGCACTAATATCAAATCAATATTTTTGGGGTCATCAATTTCAGGGTTTCTTAAAATTCTCACTAAATAAATATGCAATATTGATATCAAAACTTTAATGATGAGCAAACTCAATAAAAACATGTCTAAGTGTGGTGTTACAAAGCATGAGAGATTGATTTAGAACAAATGACTTTTCAAAAGCATGATTCACTCAATCAAGATATCAACATTTTTTTTTTTTTCTAAACAGTAAGTTTCTATATTTGAACTTTGTATTTTAAAATATATATATATATATAATTTTTCTTCTCATAAAATATCTCATCGTAAATATAATATCTTACTACTCCAATTGAAGATTTTCCCATCGAGAAAAATGAACCCCGAACAAACTCAATTTTTTTTTATGCATTCAATTAAATCATTTCATTTCATAGACGTATTGGCAACAAAAAAAAAATGTTAGAATATAATACTCTCTCGCTACGTTTCAATTTAAAGTATATTTATTTTACCATTTTTGTTTATGTAACTTCAAAATATCAAGTAAACATATACTAATGCTAAAATACATTTTAATTTTTATTTAAATTACAAACATATCATTATACATACAATTACTTTATACAAAGAAAAAAAATATAAAAAATTACATTACATACTTTTATTAACTAATAAAAATACTATTATTTTTTAATATATTACAAAAACCTAATCTATTTGATTTGGGATGAAGAGGGTATTGTTTAAAAGCAAAATATTTTATTATTGAACAAAAATAAATATAATAAGACAAAAACACACGTATGTTGTTAGTTGTCTGAACTTTGGGTTTGAATTTTGAATAATAAAAATTTAAATTTAAATATTTGTGTAATATTTCATAAATGGTGTTGATCCGATGTCATTTACGTTTGAAAAACAATTAATAAATAGTAAAATTCGAAACAAAATTTCCCAACCAACCACACCTTTGAATACATCACCAGATCGACATGATATCTACCACAGCCCGATAAAGTTTATTAATGGGCTTTCTATTTAAGCCCAAAAAGCCCAATAAGTCCATTATTATTATTATTATTATTATTATTATTATATGAAGAATATGGTTTATGATATTTTGGGTATCTTAAGGACGTAGATTTTGTGTGAGGGTGACATGTCAGAAACCATCACGGAAAACATGAGTTACACTAAATTCTAAATTAAAATATCACCAACTTGCTTATTTTAAATTTTGACAGATGCAAATTCAAAGTTGGTCCATGTCCCATTCTAAACTTGGATTTATAAATTTTAAATTTATGTCACCCTTGAATTGAATAAAATATAATAAGCACTGTCGATATAATTGAAACTATTTTATTGTAATTTTTGTGGTATAAATGGTTTTATTGAAAATACTTACAAAGCAATTGTAGATTGTTCGAGACTTGGTCAACTTAATACTACTATTATATTGTCCGCTCGCTTTGAACTGAGCCCCCACAGATTTTTTATTGGATATTCTCCAAAATGCCTCGTACTAGTGGAGTTCACTTGGGACTTATAAAGTGTGAAATTTTTTTCACAACTTTCGATGTGGGACTTGGATTTGCACCCCAACAAAACTAAAACCAAATTTTTTTCAAATTTATCTAAAGAAACATACCCTGTTCAAACATTTTAAAAATGTTTGTTTGGAGGTTTGGATTTTAAGTTGTGATTTGAATAGTAAAAATTTTGAATTTGAATAGTTGTATGATGTGATATAAATAGGTGTTGATTTGATGTTTTGAATGTAAAATTGATTTTTAGTATAATATAAAAAATGGAAAATAAGTGTTTGATTTGATATTTTTTAGGGAAAAAAAATTGAATGAATAGTAGAAAAAAATCCAATCCCTCAAACAAACACACCCGTAACTATATGTATATTATTATTATAAAAGGTTAATATATTATCCTTAATATACCAATATTCTAATAATAAAATAATAAATATTGTTACAATTAACAATAGATAACGTTGGTTGTAAAAAATAAAAATACTATCCGTAATATAATAATATATTTGTAAGTAATCAATAAAATATTTTTTGATCAATATATATATGTGGACCACATATGAACAAATTATATGTATTCACCAAATTTGTCATATTGTATTGTATATTTTCGTCTCATGAGTATGATGTATTGTCTTGATCTTTTCTAATTTGATATATATTTTTGGATGAATCAATTTGATCTTATTTCAAATTGTTGTCTTATTTATACTTTGCTTTGTTGCAACAATATTTCATATATTGAATATGACACGAGTTCTTTAATCCTAACCGCAAAGCTTCCTATGCATACTTACAAAGTCACAATAAAAACTGGATGCAATATCTGATTTTGTGAATTTTATTGCATGTCAATCTATGAAGCATGTCTATATTAAATACTAAAAAAAATTAAAACAATTTATTTTTTGTTTAATTCTAAAATGCTTTTACACAAATAGTAAAATATTGAGTTATGTATTTAAGTTAATCAAATATAGTGTTGTGTAACATAATATGATTATATGAAATGCTTCTCATGTATACGTAAATGCTAAACTCAACTGAAAGGGATGCTAATTTATTTTAATTAACAATAATTTGGATAATTTAATTCAAATATGATTGCTAATACATATCGATAAAAATTATTAACATATCAAACGAGATTCTAATAGTTTTCCTACCCTGTAAATCTTAGAAAAATTATAAAAATAATTAGTTTAACGCAATTTTATAAATTATTATCCAAATTTGACTAAAAAAACAAAAAGTCAATAAATCGATTCCGGTAAATCAAATGAGGTATTGGTGATTTAAACTTCATCATCCAGATTTCGCTTACATAATTGAACAATTTTGAATGCATATTCTGGTATTGGCGAAGGAGATGAAATATTTGAAGTTTTAATTTCTTTAATGTCTCTGTTGCTTCTTGAAAAAATAATTGAGATTGGAATAACGACAAATAAATTTTGTTCGTCTCCATCGATCTTGTTTATAAATTTTGTTGGAGTATATTTTTCTACATAATTTTGAAAATACAGTAGGAGGAAGAATAAAAAAGGCAAAAGACGGTTAGATAAATTAATAGTATGTAAATCACTCTTAAACACTTAAGTTAATACAAGTCTTTAGATTAATTTTTATAATCAAATGACTAATAATCAATCACCATGATGTTGAACGTTGTCTATCAGCATCGGATCCTGCCTCATGGATTTTATATATTATATATTTTTTATAATATATATAGGAAATTGTACTTATAAAAAAACCAACGGAACAAATCCAAGGTGTTCATTTAAATAATTTTTTGATATAATTTTTAATAAACATAAGTATATTTTTTAAAGAAAAATTAATAATTTAATATAAAATATTAATTTTTTATATTATAAAAGATACATGAAACTAAAATAATAAACAAACAACCGTATTATTATTATTATTATTATTATTATTATTATTATTATTATCTGCGAAATTGAATATGCCTTTTAACTTTGGAAATATACATATTATGACCAAATCAAAGGGCATGTTATCATTGTCATTATTATTATTATTATTATTATTATTATTATTAACATAATTAGATTAGTAAATAAAAAATATATACACAGTACTTAATTTTAATTAATATAATATATTGAGATAAGTGAACTATAGGTGTATTTATTTTGTACAGTATTTCTTTTTATGAATGTTTTTTTTTTCTTTCTTTTAACAGTAGGTATGTCAAATCGTATTAAAAATATAAAAAAATTAATATTTTATATTAAATTATTAATTTTTTTTAAAAAAGTATAATATATATTATATTACATTTTTAATAATATTTTTATAAGAAATCTTATTATTTAAAAATAGATTGGGTGAGGAAATTTTTACATGCTAACAATGGTGGAATCAGTTTCTAAATTCAAAAGAATATAAGGTCCAAACTTTTAACGATTTGTTTTATCTTTTTCGATTTTTTTTATAAAAAAATAAAAATAATAATAATAAATCTTAAAATATTGAGCATAAATTAGCATAATTATATTTAAAAAATAAAAATAAAAATTTAATTCATTCTTTAAAAAAAAATAATTGGGGCTGGAGTTGTTGTGGCCGGCCCCAAGCCTCTCCATGTAAATCTACAACTTAGGACATATTAAATTTTTTAAGGTTAATTGTATGAATATCTTTGTTGAGTTGAAATTAATCGTAATATATGTTGTTTAATTTTATTTTATATAATTTATGAGCTATTGTCATGTTTTTGTTAATTTATATTATATCAATATAAATTTATTTATTTATATTTATACCATTTCAAAGGCTGACTAATGATATTTATTCAGCATATCAATGTGTTAATATTAATTAATATTAATATAAGACAACACACATCGTTGGATTGGTTGACTTGTGTCTGAAACCAAAAATAAAAATATGTTAAATATTTTTGTTACTTTTTTGTTCAACAAAATCAAGTGTGATTTCTTCGGATAATAAAATCAAAACAATGGGTTATTTGTGTATATAAATTATTTAATTTATTCTTTTTCAAAATAACTATCTCGACATACTTATTTAGATAAAATAAATAAACAAAAGTTAAATTATTACTAATTTTTTTTATCAAAAATACTCTATTTTTTATTAAAATATTAATTAAAATAAAACGGCTCAGCAGCCGGATTAAGAAAGAATCAATAATTTTCATTCCAATTAATTAAGTATTTCTTCACTTTGGTGGTTCGTTTTTTACTGACCACTTTTCGAGTCTATCTTCTCTATTGTCCGCCCCTCTACTGGCCTACCCTATAAAAACCCTACCCCCATTTTCCATTTCTCCCTCAGCTCAATTCTCTCTCAATCCGCCATAGCCATGGAGGAAACCGCCGCCGCCGGCGAAGTTTACTACGCATTCCTCAATTCCGCGCCGGAAAATGACAGAGGAGACTGCGACGACGGAGACGAAGCTCTTTCTCTCTGCGATCTCCCGCTCATCGACCAATCCAGGATGCTAATCGACGGCGAAGAGATTAAATCTACACAACCAGATGAATCTCAAGAGGAATTCGATTTCTGCTCCGTTCCGAAGGAATCAGAAATGTGCGCCGCCGACGAACTCTTCTTCCGCGGCCAGATTCTGCCGCTCCGCCACTCGGTAAGCTCTGTATGCGAATTATCGATCTTCAATCGCTCAATTTCTCGTTCGAGATCTGTAGACTGTCTAGATTCCGCCGGAGGATTAATTTCTAGCAGAAGCAGCAGTATCAGCAGCCGTCGCTCCTCAAGCAGCAGCAGCGGTAGCGGAAGCTCCGCCGCCGCCGATGATAAGCACCGGAAACCTCCTCTAAACCTCTTCCATTCACATCCAAGTCCGTCGCCAAAACTACCACCAATTTTCCGAACCACCGCCGCCACCACCACCACCACCAAATCCTCCGCCTGGAGCATTTTCCGGCGCGGATTGATCGCAACTCCTCCGAAAATCTCACTTCACAACGCCAAATCTCGCACAACCAACAAAACCTCCGGCAACCGCTGCGGCGGCGGAAGCGATAAGAAGAAACAGAGGAGCAATTTCCTAAGCGGTTGCGACTGTTTGTTGGATGCAGTTGATACAGTTCCTTCTAAAGTCGTGGTTATGAAAAGAAGCGCGAACGACGAGCAACACGAGATCCGTACAATGACGGAGAAGACGACGAAAAAGCGCGTTTCTGAAAATCGCACTTCAGAATGGCTAAAGTTGCTAACTGTAGAAAGCTCACCGGACGTAACTGCACCGAACGGAACCGTAGACGCAAAAGGAGAAGAAAGGATTTAACTGTACGTTCTTTATATATATATGCCCTTTTTGTTATGTGGTTGTTATTTTAGTGTAATTATCAATTAGGTAAAGTTTTAATTGTCGAATCAATTCGAATTTATGCATGCGACAAAATTAGTGATTCGGAAATCTTTATGTGAATCTTGTTAATAATATTGGCAAATCCAATTTTGTACACATTTATCATTATAAATAAATACTATAGCGTTACTTTTGTCACAGTTTTCATGCTTTGTTGAATTTTAATTTTTTAAAAAGAGCATCGAAATTGAAATTATGTGCTATCAAGATAATTTATCGAATTAGAAAGTAATCATTTCATTAAATATCATACTCCTTTTGTCCAAGTAGAAAGTATATATTTACTCTATTCGTCCCAATACAATAGTCTTATTTACCATTTTTGTTCGTCTCAATACAATAGTCTTATTTTTATAAATAACCATAAAATTATCCCTACTTTTTCATTTTTATTACATAATTATCACTACTTTTTCATTTTTATTACACAATTACCACTACTTTTTACGCTAATACATTCACAAGGGCATTCCTTAAATTTCGTGTTCAACTTAATTATTTTAATTATAGTGGATAAGTGTAATGACATCTTCGCTATTACTTTTTTATATAAAAGTAATGATGTGGTGTAAAATAAAGGTATTTGTGGAAAAAAAAAAGGGGGGGGGTTATTTTAGTAAAATAATTATTTTGTAATTGAACGTAGCAAAATAAGAATATGTATATTTTCTAGTTGGACAGATGAAGCATTTTTTTTTCTTCATAAATACCCTTATTTTATCGTTACATTATTACTTTTATATAAAAATATATATATATTATTTTTAACTATTTATTACAATTAAAATAAAATTTTGCATCAAAAATAAATATATAGAATATTACTCTCTATGATCTAGTGAAGATAAGTACAAAAATACAAAATATCGTTCGTCCAATTTATTACCACCAGAAAAAATATCATAAATAAAAATGAAGACAAATAAATAAAAGTTGCGGATACGTACTTTAATTTGATTTGGTGTTATATTTTGAATAAAAATAAAAATAAATATTTAACATTCTCTATTTATCTTTCATTGTTACTTATTGGATAAATTGATGAGTAGTAGTACTGTTTTTTAAATTGGAGTAATATAATGTGATATAAATAAGGAGTAATAAATAGATTTTATTTTGTTGAATTCAAATACATTCAAAATCCTGTAAAAAATATGTATTGCCCAATTGAAATTCAAATTATAAAATTCAAATCGTATGAAAAATTCAAAATTATATGACAACTAAAAAAATCAAATTTTTTTATTTAATAAATCTATTAATAAACAAATAAGGTACGTTACATCAAGATACAAACACAAGACAAGATTATCTATATTTAAATACTTAGAAAAAATTATTTTTGGTAATTTGTAAATCAAAATAATCAATTTTGATCTTATTAAACAATTGTTATAAATTTAATCTTATTCAAAATAGAATTAATTAATATTAATTAATTTTGATCCCATAACACGGTATAAAATGATTTAAAATTGTAGCATACAAATAGCAGTTCGCAGAAGGAGAATCAAATTGAACAATCATCTATCCGTAAAGGATATAATAGTCCCCCCTAGGAGACTGGGGACGTCAATTTGTAATTTTTGGGTCGTATTGGTTCAGGCTGAGCCATGGGATAATACAAAAATTGTCAATTGGAATTCGACTCGAACTAAAAATTTGATCTGAAATCCTAGATTCGAACACAATATGAATTCTTTCATGTCGAATATATGTTGACTTGAATTAGTTTCAGGTCACCCGAACAAACCCGAGACGGAACAGACCCGAAAATTAAAAAAAAAGAATTAAATTAGCCTAAAAAGGATTATTTTTATTTTAGTTTTTATATTAAATTAAAATAATAATAATAAATAATTTCAGGTCAACTCGAAAGCCGAAATCCGACGTGATTTTTATATCTCGGGTTATCAGGTCAACCCGAAACTTGACTCGAACACGACATAAATTTTTTTGTTTCAGATTCTGGTCGACCCGATTATTTGCAAATCCGAACCTGAAAAATTTCAGATAATAAGGGTTTGATTTTTCGGTCGGGTTTAATATAGCAGAGAATGGTAAGATAGGAAAGGGTTAGAAGACTAGCGCATTTAACCATTCATCTGTTACGGATAATTAAGAACCCGCATCCCACAATTTTTATCACCATTGCAACCTTAAAAAATGTCTTTGTAGTAGGGTACTTTAAACCTTAATATCCTCAATATAGGATCTAGGGTAACCATACTTAGGGGGGGATCCAACCAACAAGCTAATGAACAAACCAAAAACTCAAGAACTCACAAAAAATCTCCTGTATTAAGAAATTTTCTATATTTAATATTTTTTCCGTCCCAACACAATAATCTTGTTTACCATTTTTGTCCCTATCAAAACAATAATCTCATTTGCATAAATAATCATATCACCGTAAAATTATCCCTACCTTTTTATTATTATTATACAATTGCCACTACTTTTTACATTAATATATTCACAAGGGCAAAAAAGTCATTTATCATTACTTTTTACCAACTATCAAAATATAATCAATATTCCTTAAATCTCGTGTCCAACACACAATAAGACTATATTTTTGGGACATAAGGAGTTTTCTTTTCCTCTCTGAAAAGTGTGTTTTCACCATATTTAAATTATTATTTTTTATTTTTTATATACTTGTATTATTGTAACTGATGAATTACATATATTTTGTTACATAAATTTTATTTTAATCTAAAATTACAGTACTAACTCTATAAAAGTTCTAATTTTACTTTTATAAAAGATATTCAAATTATATTAAAATATTATGTATCTTAATATCCATGCCCTTTGTATTAGGTTTATGTTATTTTAGATTAGTTCGAGATTATGTATCTATTTTGTCTATATTACACTTGTAAATAAGTCTCTAATTTTATTATTAATAATATATAATTATGAAATTTTGTCAAATATAACATGTATTACAACCAGGGCGTAACTATGTGAGGGCAAGGGGGCTCCCTCCTCCCCTACCCCACCCCTTGATTATTCTCACTTTTTATTTTTTATTATAATTTATATAATTTTTAAATAATATATAGTAAAAATATATATATAAAAAAAATTATACTAAATTTTTTTTTTATGATCTAATATCATGAATTTTTTAGTACGTTAATAATATATAATTTGATATTTTTAATATATACTAAAATAATTTCGGCATTTTAGTATTCGACATATCGATATATATAAATAATTTAATATATTGATATCAAAATTATTATTTTAAATTTTAGTATTTTGGTGTAAAATGGTATATATCGAGATACTGTATCAAAATTTTAGTATGGTATCAATAAATATATTTATCATACTGATTTTTCGGTATATTGAATTTTTGAAAAAAAAAAAAATAACCCCTCTTCATTCGGGTTTTGGTTCCACCACTGATTACAACCATTGTTTTCCTGATACACTCAACCAGAAATATACCCGAAAGGCGTCCTCAATTTGAGATTCTCGTTGCTATGAAATTTGTTTTATTTTTTAATAAAGTCTTATGTTTTTCCTTCGATTGTTTGCATGATTCCGAAATCGTTTTTTTCTAACTCCAGTGAGAGTTATAATTTCGACTCTAACAACATTTAGGACTCTACTCAGACGCTAACGGCATTAAGAGCCCTATCTCCGACTTGAACTCTATTGTGAGCTCTGCTTCCGGCTCTGATCTAATAAAAAAAATTGGCTACATCATCTTCGATTAGTGTTGAAACTTTTAAGTTAGTTTTTATAATACCACTTTAAACTTGAGAGAGATGTTGAAATATATTTTTTATATTTATATGGTGTGTATTACACTTATAAATAGGTCATAATTTTATTAATAATAATATACAATTCGAAAATTCTATCAAAATGTAATATCTCGAAAAAGAAAGGCAAACTTATAGCCTTGGCTCATAAAGAATCCATTCATTGAAGAAACTCTCACACGAAAGAATAAACTAAACGGAAACAATTTTCGACCAAAAAAATAAAAAAATCTTGGATCAATGAAAAGAATTTCACACACGCGATGCTACTCTTTGCTACACTCAACACTTAAAATAATATGTAGGGATATATCATATATGTATATATTGGAGATTGCGACTTACATGAATGGACCGATGGGTCATACTATAGAACGAGCCAATAAAATGTCATTTTTTATTTATCCTTCGTCTGATTTTATCGTATTTTATCCCTCACTCACAAATATATGTTAGTCCAAAATAATATCACATATAAACACGCAATCACATACAGGCTTCTATAGTATTGAATATTGTCGTCTCACATTGAAAATTTGTGGAAACTCCTATTTTGATATAAGAGTGAAGGATTATTTCATTTAATATCAATTGGTTTTAAATTTAAATTTTGAATCTCCTTCTTAATATAGTATTAGAGTCATTGTGTCCGTATTAGGTGATGGAGATGAAACCGCTTTAATATTCATGGATAAGTTTGATCGAGTTCGTGCATTAAAGGTGAAGATTTAAGTATTGTTGGACTTTTACTCAATTATATTTATTTAGTTTCATGTGGGCTTGCAAATAAGTTGGGCTATAAGCCTTTTTAGAACTATTTAAACCTAGTTTTTGGTACTGGAAGACAGTTTTTGGGATTAATAATATTTTGAGATTTTTCCTTGAATTCTCACCTAGTATACGTAGTATCACAGGGAACTCTGTTATCTCCATCTCAGTGTTATTGTTATTGCGTTTCCGCTATGTCATTAGGTATTGATCTTGTTTATGATTTCGAGATAATATCATCTCGAGGGAAAGTGTCGAATATTGTTCTCCCAAAAAATTAATAAATTGAATACATTCACAAAACAATAATACAAATTCAACTCAAGAAATCAATCACATATATCGACAAACTAAATTCACAAGCATAAAACATGTTTAAACATAGGTTCAACACATATATTTATAGTAATTACAAGGTGTATTCCAAAATATTATAACACAAAATTAAAACAGTACAAAATTATAATTATACCAAAATTTAAATTATGAAAATTGTAACTATACAAAAATAATGACAACTTATAATCGAATGTTTATTGTATAGATGACCTTATATTGAATAAAAATAAATATTACGAAATTATAATATAAATTTCTGTCAATAAAAAAATAAAATAAAATAGATATTGTTAACAACTTCTTCAATTTTATCTCATAAAATAGGTGAAATTTATTATATATTACTTAAAATTGCATTCCTACTGTACCTATTAATATTGCATAAATATACACGTTGTGAATTTTTAATATAGTTGTCTATTCATAAGAAATATTAATATATATGATGTTGATAATTTTTTTAATATTATCTATAAAAAAAAAAAAAAAAAAAAAAGAAGAAGAAGAAAAAAGTGATGTTTATCTTCAAAAGTCATCTGCATAATAGGTATATGATTCTTAATTATTGCTATTTTTTAATGGAGAGAGTATTTAATCGATGCAAATGCTAACACACACACAAAAATTATACAATATATAATATATCGGATTTTAATAAAAATATGTGATATAATTTACTTACTTAAATTTATTAACTTATCTAATCCTTGTATGGTTGGTATTGGAGTCTTTAGATAGATATGGATCAAAGTTCAAACCATGCAAGATATTTTTTTTTTTTTTTTAATGACGTAAAAATCCGTAGTCACTACCCGAAAATGCAACCTCATACAAAATCTTATTTGAATCATCAGTATAACGTTTTTCTATGAAATATATATATATATATTATTTACATAGTAAAATTTTTTTCCCTAAACAATTAACTTTGCAAACGATAATAGAACTCATAAGAATGATCATACATGATTTTTAACAAACTATACAATATTCATAAAGTCATGCAAATATCATTGAGTCAATGAAAAGTTCTGCTCGTTTGCATTCATTAAAATAATTTGGCTCTATTTACACACTTAAAATATAAATAAATAAAAAAATCATTTCAAATGTTTATGCTATTTCGTAAAACATCGTATCAAAAATTCATAAACTTTTAAAACTCATGTATGAACGAAAGTATTATATTTTAACAGTGAAGTTGAAAATTAAGGATTTATTCATCAAAGTAATTTATTTCAATATAATCCTTCTTTTGTCCCAAACATTCTGTAACATTTCCTTTTTTGTTTGTTTCAAACTCATTGCAATATTTCCAAATTTAGAAATAATTAATAATATTTATATATACTTCATTTTATCCCACCACATCACTCAAATAAAAAAATTAATAAATAATCATTTCTCTCTCCAATTACATTACTTAATATTCAAATTATCTCAAATTACCATATTTAATACTCCTCATCTAAATTCTCGTACCAAATCCAAATGTCGCACAGTGCTTGGGACGGAGAGAATAATATTTATGTTCTATTCTCCACAAAAAATCAACTATTCAACCCAAATTATTATTTTTTATATTCCTATTTCACATTCCTCAAACCAAGAAAAAGATCTCAAACTAAAGAACTGAACAAAGAAAATTTCAAAAAAGAGAAAATCAAAATATATTGCGGAATTGAAGTGACGCGCACCATTTCCACGTTCAATAATAACAATAATAATAAATCGGTAAGGAATAGCCTAGTGGTATGGGAATAAACTTTAAATTCCGATGCATTCGAGTCTTGTCTACCACACATAGTTTGTCTAGTATGACTTGCCTTATTGGACTTAGTTTGCAGGCTACTAAGTTCGGCCGAGGGTTTACCAAAAGCGCACCCGAAGGATAACGACTGCGAATTCCCACGTTGTGACTTGTTTTGCTAAATCTAGTTTTAAGCTATTAAATTTGATTGAAAGTTTAAATAATAATAACAATAACAACAATACATGGGTCCGAAACCCCACGGCTTTAAGATTTACCCAGAGCAGGCTCTTCCTACGTTGTGACTTGTTTTGCTAAATCTAGTTTTAAGCTATTAAATTTGATTGAAAGTTTAAATAATAATAACAATAACAACAATACATGGGTCCGAAACCCCACGGCTTTAAGATTTACCCAGAGCAGGCTCTTCCTACGTTGTGACTTGTTTTGCTAAATCTAGTTTTAAGCTATTAAATTTGATTGAAAGTTTAAATAATAATAACAATAACAACAATACATGGGTCCGAAACCCCACGGCTTTAAGATTTACCCAGAGCAGGCTCTTCCCACGTTGTGACTTGTTTTGCTAAATCTAGTTTTAAGCTATTAAATTTGATTGAAAGTTTAAATAATAATAACAATAACAACAATACATGGGTCCGAAACCCCACGGCTTTAAGATTTACCCAGAGCAGGCTCTTCCTACGTCATAAAAATAAAATAAAATAAAATAACAGGGTGACCAAATAGCGTGAGGGGGTGAACCATCATCACAATTCTACAAGTTAAAAAATTACAAAGATGACTTTGAATCCTCCTGTATAACATCTGTGCTCAAGTGCACAACTAAGAGAAACTAGAATGGTGCTGTTATTCAAAAGCTTAGGAGTTCTATTATAGCATGCCCTTTCCTAAGTCGAACACGAAAATGAAAATCATAAATCCACAAGCGACCCAAATCTGCAAGCAACTATCTATATAAACCGGTACTAATTCAATCCTTTACAAGTACACATTTTGATCCTTTGTTGCAACATCACAAACAGTCAGCATGATCGAGCACACAACATTATATATTGCATCTGTTCATCTACGAGTAAATTTAGACCAGAAATAGACGACAAAAAACAGTACGAGTGCAAAAAGAATGACCTGCATGACATGGTTTGACCCTTCTTTAATGATACTCTTGTTTAGTCTCCTCATGTTGTTCTTCACCCCTGCTTGAGCTTTAATCAACGTCATTTGCTGTTACATGTAAAAGACCCGTGTCGTGTCAAATCATGTATATAAAATTTAAACCCTGGCGTGCACAAGGCATGAGTTCCATGGGATGAAAATGACAAAATTACTTGTGGTTCTTCACGTTTTAGGACAATTAAGTTATTCGCCAGCTTATGATTAGCAGGAGAATTGAATCACCACAAGACTGAAATGTACGAAACTTTATATAAAGAGATTGCCTCAGTGTAAAGTAGGGCTAAACGAGTCTGGATTATTTCGGCTAAAATGAAAAAGAGTCTGCACTCGACTGCAAAATCTAACAGAATTATTTACATGCTGTAGTGGCAAATATCTCACAAAAGACAGACATTGTGTCTCAAATCAGAAGCTAATTTCTCAAAATCATATGCATTAATAGATTTTCTGGGGGAAATGGTTGAGTAGACAGTTCAAATACTCAAGATAACAGTCAATTGATTTTCGTACCAGATCGTTGAGGAAATTATTTTGGAACTTTGCTTCTGTCTCAATTTCTTGAGCTACCTGCAGAATTCCATGAGAATTCAAAGTCAAAAGTAGAAATGCTGTACAAATTATAGCACGAGGAGACTCTTTCCGACAATCTACAAATTCAAATCCCCTGCTATATTCGGTTTATATTAGTATATCATTTTGATCCATAAAAATACAAAAACTAAAAGTAACCATCAAACACCGACACTCTAAAGCAAAAATGTCAGTTTGTTGCTATACAAGCATTAAATTTCAGAATTTTATGCAGTTGCAATCAAATTATCAAATATACAAGCCCACGTGTTATACTCCACAATATAGTATATGTTGTAACATTAAGATTCGCAATATCATATACATATGTATGAAAACAAGCCAACTAAAAAGAAAGATGCTATTCATTATTGCTGTCCCAAAGCATGTGCATTCTGCCTCAACAACTGTAGCCCAAAGTCAGCCAATGTTTGTTTTACCAAAAAAAGAACTTCAATAAAAGGCAATGCAATGAATTTGTGAATGTGTATAGGAGCATGCATGCCATAATAAAATAACTTAAATGACATAAATAATTACTATTATACTCAACCAAGGTAATTTACATTTTACAGAAGCAACCACGGCGGCAATCTGGAAAAGACAAACACCAAGGATTGGGGGTGGGGGCTTAAATTTATCTCAGATCCGGCTTTTAAGAATTATCAGATGATTAAATAAAAGTCAAGGTATTGATGTTCACAAGGAAAAATCATATTTGAATTTCATGGGTATAAAATAGCATGATGATAAAACCCACCGCTGAGTTTCTGAAAAGTCAAGAACAGCCATAGAAAAAGAACTTAATGGTCCCAAATCATTATTTTGAATAATTTTATAACTGACATCAGGCAGAAATCCCGGCAGCTTCTGCGAAGAGTTCACCAAGTACCGGAGCCTCAGTTTCAACTAAAATTTAGTATTTTCATATGAACATATTATTGACTTGTTAATCATAATAAAAGTGAAGTAGTTAAACACAAATTGAGATGTTAGGAGGCGGATGGATAGTTGGGCCAATCTATTCACTAAAGAATATGCAAGATCTATGACTAAATAATTCTATAAGTCTACAGCTAAGATATCCACAGGAAATGTCAAATACACAATAGAAAAATGCATAATATGGCAGAAAGAAAATGCAGCAAATGTTATTTCTTATTAAAACACACACACTAGACAGTGAGTTCATAAAACAATACTAGAAAATATTCATATGACATGAGCAAAAACTATTAACAAATTCTGTAAGCATAAAAATTCAGAAAGCCTAATAGAAAGAAACAATTTTCAATTATCCACTAGTTGTATCAAACTTTTAACCAATAATAAGCTTGCACAAATTTAACGGATCATGAACTTCTTCAGATCATAATGCTTTTGTATTAAGCAAACTACTGCAGCATGTTTCTTAGAATTATGGCTCAAAGATAGAAGTGGTCATGCAAAATAATCACACACAACAGCAAAATTCATAGAAGATTGTTTAGCCTGGCCTAAGCTACTAACCCAGAAATTAGAAAATTATCAGAATGAGTGACTAACTACACACAATCATTCCTTAATTACCAGTACATTTATTCATCATTATGTTAACAGAATTTTCCAACACAAAGGGTCCCCCACTAAAATCAGCTAAAACGTTTAATTCTCATGCAAAAGGTTAAAAACACAAAATGAATTTTATTTGCCGACAAAGTTTTAGCAAGAACTTTGATGAAAAAAGATTGAAATGTCCCCTTCTTCAAGCAATTAAAACATTTAGAGATTCGATTTAGTCCCCCCAATAAAGCATCAGGCTATTTCCAAATCCTCCAAGACTCATATCAGACTTGACCTATGCAACAAAATTCAAAGGATACACACACCCAAAGAGCAGAAGATTATACTATTCATAGAATTATAATTACACTGAAGATATTCTTGGATCAACCTTTCCATGGAAAACCAGAAACAATTATAAAAATAAAACCAAACAAACAGATAAACCCTTACATCTCGAAGTTTTCGAACTTGGCTCCGCAGTCCAGAGACCTCATCTTCGAAGTCAGTGTGCATCGGATCGATTCGTAACTGAATTTCATCGGAACTGCCACCGTATGCCGCTGGTCTCGTGCTTAACCCATCCCTGTTTCAATCACGAAGTACCAATGAGATGCACCGCTAAAATTATCCATTACAGCTAAAACATTAATAAAAGATAATTACATGGTATATCACTGAAATACCTTGATCTGAAAGGGGCGGCCATTGCAGAAGAGGCTGGAATTTCTATCTGCTGAAGAGCTAGAATCATGTATTGAGCGTGGTGTTTTTTTAAGGAAAATTGTAAAAGATCGGGTAAAAAACTGAAGTAAGAAAACCCTGTATCGCAATCAATATAAAATTAAACTGACATTCAACAACGAGATTTTACTTAGAACTTGCTCTACAAACCAATTATCAAGTCAACAATCGAGACTGAACTATAACGCTCATCAATTTTTAAACCCTAATACAATTTCGCGAAAAGCTACGTCGAATTCCTCAAATCAGAACAAAAACCGTCAGTCCATAACAATTAGCCAGAGATAAGATAAAATCCTCAATCAAATCCCCCCAAAAAATATAAAACTAAAACAATAAATTAAAACGAAATTAGAAGCAGAAATCCTATCAAAACAAGATCTATTGAGGAAAGTGACAATCCAGGGCTTGCGTTGGCCTTCACCTGTTTCCGACGGTATATGCGTGTTTCCGTCCGAATCGAGCTTCAATCTGGTCAATCGGCCAATGAGGACGAAGGCAAAGCTGGAGGTCGAGGAAAATGAAGAAGATGTCGGCCGACGAGGACGATGGACGAAGACGAAGTCGACAGGCGGGAGTTGGATTAGATTAGGATCTTATTTTATGATATAATTTTAAGTTAAACGGGCTTTTCAAGTGACCATCATTTTAGAAGTTTAATAAGGGTGTGTTTGTCGGGGGAATAAGATTTAAATCACTATTCAAGCTTATTTTTCTCTCCCTAAAAACATCAAATCAAGACAGTTATTTTTTATTTTTATATTAAATTAAAAATTAATTTTATATTAAAAATATTACATCAATATTTATTTATATCATATTATATAACTATTCAAATTCAAAATTTTTACTGTTCAAATTTCAATTCAAAATCCAAACCCCAAACACACACCCTAAGTAAATTTTTTTAATTCTTTTATTTTTTGTTAAAATAATCTTTTGGTGCCACCTCGTCGGATCATCCCGTTGATGACATGGCGTTAATACGGCTGACGTGGTGATATATGGAATTAAAATAATAGTTCATCAATATATTATATAAAGAAGATTTTAAAAGAAAAAATTTCACTAAATAGCGTGACATCTATACAGTGATGATATGTCATCTATATGGTGTTGATATGCCAGTCATGTCAGCGTCTTGTCTGTAACGGTGGGCCAGCGTTGCGAATTGACGCCAAATGATCATTTTAACGAAAAAAAATTACATTTTAGGCAACTTCTACCTAAAGTCCTAAAATAATAAACGATTACGATACGAGACAAAAAAACAGTATAGTAAAAATTGACTAAATTTAGACTTTATTTAAAAAAAAAGATATTTTTACAATTTTTAATAAGTATTTTATTGAAATAATGTTATATTAAATATTAATTGTTATTATTTTTAAATATATTTAAAATTCTAAAAATTATTTAAACAAAAATTTATTTCATTGAAAATTAAAATGTGTTGAATTGTGAGAGTTTGGTTTTGAGTTTTGATTTTGAATTGAAATCGTGATTTGATGTGATATTTTGAATGTAAAATTAAATTTTTGTGTAATAAAATAAATAAAAATTGGATGTTTGATTTGATGTTTTTGAAAAAAAAATGAATAGTAAAATTAAATGTAAAATCTTACAAATATACAGGGGAATTCATATAATAAAATTGACAGTCTTAAAGCATTTCCAACTCACTCGGTAAAAATAGTAAAATTGTTATTTTTGCATGGTCGTGTTCTCTTTGTTCAGCATGCAATTTTGAAATTATCACATTATACAATTATTCAAATACAAAATTTTTATTATTAAATTTCAAATTAAAACTCAAACTCTCAAACAAACATACCCCAATGAATCACACATTACTAAATCTTTTTACTATTCTAATATATTTTCTTTGTCTTGCTTTTCACATCTTAATAACTCTTTTTTTAATCTATAATGTATGTGGTCACCACCTAATTACTACTTCATACTTGTACTTATATTTACCAAAATTACATCATACATTTTATTTTTTACCCCAGTAAACATAAGGGTTGTGTTTGTTCAGTGAAATGATTGGAAAGAATTATTTTATGTAAAATATAAAAATTGTGTAAAAAATATAAAAATAATAAATATGTATAGTATATTAATTTTTTTGAAAAATCTTGTATGAGAAAAAGATAAAAAAGAACACACCCTTCTTGATTTATTACAAAAAAACCAAATAAAACATTTTAGATGGAAAAGTTATTTTTTATGTTTATATGTGACCCTTATCATTTTAAGATCACAACTAAAAAATTTATGTGATTAATCTTACAATTAAAAAAAGGTTGGCAAAAAGGATTCTTATGCACTATTCGAATATTCGAATATCGTATGGATGACAAATGAAAAATAATTTACATTTTTTTAATTATAAAACTAATTCAATACAAAGTCTAATTATGATCGTAAAATGATCTTTATGTCCACTTGTCATCTATGTAATTTTCGGAATGTCACGATGGTAGCACACTAGCAACTCTGTCACTGGATAATTATTTCTGTCAAATTTATTTAGTTGTATAATTAATCCAATATAAAATATAGATATGATCCTAAAATAATAATGAACTAATTTATATGTGACGGCTGAATCTGTGCAATTTTCATTATTTGCACGAATTAAGCAACAAATTAAACAAAGTGCAACTTATAGAATATCGAATAATAATAATAATAATAATTTATGCACTCTTTTCTCTCTCTCTCTACATTTGTTCCAGTCAAGTTCTTCTCACGAATTGCACAACACAATTCAGTTTCATTAGCAGATTTTAAGAAAAATTTCATTATTGCTACAGTGCATTGAGCACGAAAAAAGAGACTTTGATATCGCAACAAATAGCGAGCAAAAACAACCAAAGTAGAAACCAAATATGCGCTATTAGCAAGTTTGTTGCACCAAAATTTGCACGAATTAAGCAACAAATTGAACAAAATGCAACTTATAAAATATCGATAATTTTATGTATATCTTATATATAAGAATTTGTCTCGATTACAAGAATCAAAGCATAACGATAATAAGTGGCATTAGAAACCTCAAGATAAAAGTTTTGTCGAAAATTTTTTAAGCCTAGATTATGTATGCTTCATTGCCCTCTTTTCTATTATTCATTTACTCATTCTTCTATAATAATTATACATCACATACTATAATTTTCAATGTATAACAGCAGTAACTGACATTAAAATAATTTCAGAAAAAAATAACTCAACATCGAATACAATATGTGTAACTTTAACAGTTTTCACAGACATTTCTGAACTCGTAATGTGCCATCAAATGTAGCTTCAACAACAATAATTTTATTTTCCGATAAAAAAAAATAGTAATTTCATTATAAGGAAAATTCAAATAAAAGAGAAAAATTGAATATGAAAAAAAGATTTGCTTGGGGATGAAAACATAGTGTTCTTTCCATTCAATTATACTCCCTCCTCCCCATAACAAAGTATTCATTTTTTCATTTTAGTCCGTCTCATAACAAAGTATCCATTTCCTTTTTAGTAACGATACTATCTACTTAACATTACAAATACCCTTACAACTTACAATATATTACACAAATGTCATTACCTTTATATCACACATACTAATAAGGTTATTTTAGTTATTTTTACTTTATTCCTACTATATCCCAATATAATACTAATATTTCTAAAACTCCGTGCAAAAAACAAACGAATACTTAGTTATGAGACCGATGAAGTAATATAAATTTATAATCAAATCATACTACTGTTAATTTTATCAATTAAATTTAATACATATTTATATTATTATATTATTATCTATCAAATCAATATATATCAAAACTCTCAAAACTCAAATCAAACCTAAACACAAAAGAAACAAATAAACTCAAATTTATTCTAAAATTCAAATAAAAACCAAATTCTAACTCAAATTTCTCCAAACCGACCTAAAGAAACACACCCATAAAAATAAACTTATGTCATATACTCCCTCCGTCCTATAAATAAATATTCATTTGCTTTTTATACGTAGTTTTAGAAATATTAGTATTATATTGGGATATAGTAGGAATAAAGTAAAAATTACTAAAATAACTTTACTAGTACGTGTGATATAAATATAATGACATTTGTGTAATATATTGTAAATTGTAAGGGTATTTGTAATGTTACGTAGATATAGTACAGTTGCTAAAAAAAAGAAATGAATATTTTGTTATGAGACGGACTAAAATAGAAAAATAAATTCTTTATTTTGGGAGGGATGGAGTATATATATATATATATATATAAACTATTAAAATGCCTAAAAGAAAACTCGTAACCGATTGCGAAGGAGCTGACAAAAGCATTCGAAAATATTATTAGTATTATGATCGATGACATAATTGATGAGCCATGATACAAAATAATTTGTCCTTTATTTCATAATGTTTTTTCTTTTTCCTTTTTTTGGTTATATATATAAATATATATATATATATATATTTGTGCATACTTGTAAAACAAGCCTTATATTAGCAAAATCAATTTAAAAAAAAAAGGTTTAACGGCATTAGTGTCGTGTCGAGTCCTTTTCTTTTGTTTAGTAAACTTGTGCCTAAAGCTATCATCTCAACTTTAGAACAAGTTTAATTAATTCGCCGATGGTATTATTCTATCAATTATTTTTATTTTTTATTTTTTATTTTCTAAAATCATAAAATTATGACACCTAATTTTATTTAATATATTACAAAATTTTAATTTTCATTTAAAATATGGCAATAAGTATTTATTTATATTATATCAAATAATATTTTAATTTAATTTCTTAATAGTTTGAAAATTAGAATTCATATTCAAAACATAGTATGTTGTATTTAGGGAGTGTTTAACAATTAGTTGATAATTGTTAGTTGATTTAATTAGTTGTTAGTTGATTCAATTAGTTGTATAAATTCATGGGCAACATATAGTCGAATCAATTGACAGTCAAGCTCAATATGCTTATATGCTTATAAAAAGTACCATTATATGTCATATTTATAATACTCTAACTATTGTGGTGAAGAACGGTAGAAAACAATTGAGGTACATTAAGATCAATGAGTAACGGATGCAACGACAATATTTTTTTATGTAGAGTTATCAAGGGTATGATTCTTAGACTCATCACTCGATTGATGAACCAAAGTATGTATATTATTGTGTTAGAAGATGATAAATCGCCAAAAAAGAAGCAAAACTCAGTAGTGGAACAACAATCGGTAGGGTCACCAACCTAAACAACAGTAGAGTAATCGTTAAATGTCAATAAAAAATGAGCCGAGAAGTGTAATTATAGGGGAGAGTACTAAGGATATGTAACACTAATGAGAAGTCTTTGGAACAACCATGAATTGACACATAATATGAATCGTATGATGAGTGACAATGAAATAAATCAAACTTTCAATAAGTTGGCAATAGAACATAGAAACTTCGAGAAGAGAACCGTCGCGAGAAATGAGCCGAAGATCACAAACATGTGGTGTAGATATTGTTTGACAGTCAGTGAGACCAACTCGGAAGATAAGATGAGATGAATAAAAACATCAGAATTGTTAAAGACTTCAAGTCCCAAAAAATTGCAAAGTGAATCCAAACTTTTCATATCAAGCTACTAACATAGAAACGTATATTGATCAGAAATACCATAAGCATCCACTCCTCTGATGAGTGTATCATCAACATAAGGCAGCATAACAATCCTTAAAGACAACGGATTAAAAAACAATTCAGAATCGTGATCACTCGTAGTAAAATCAAACTTTAACAAGACAAAGCTAAAAACTACATACCAAGCATGGAATATTTATTCAACGCATATAAAGTTCACCCTAAACAACAATCTTACAAGAGGACAAGAAATCTAGAGAAAAAGTCATATAAACTTTCTTAAAAAGAATTACATGCAAAAATATATTTTTGACATTAAAAATAAAAAGACCGATAATTTTAATATGTATTGGATTAAAAGTTAAAATCTTAAGACTTGTAAAAGTATTTCAGGCCTATAGGATCTGTCAGATCTTATTGGGTATAAGATCAGATCCAGGTATAATCAGTTATGTTGGAATATAAAATTGAAATTGAAATTTTTTATTTCAATTATAAGAATATATATATTTATAATAACTTACAAATCTATTAAATAAGAAAATTACCATAAATATAATATATATTCCAAATATATCTTAACACATCTCCTCAAAATCAAGTTAAAATCGAACCAATTTGAGTTTGTTTGAAAATAGACTAAAAATGATGTAGTCGGAATCATCTATTGAATCAAAATCGAAAGCAGGACTCTCAATGACGTTATAGTTGAAAATAAGACTATCAACCTTGTTAGAGTCGGAAATAAAGTTCTCAATGTTGTTGGAATCAGAAACATAATTCAACATTGTTAGATTGGAAAACAAAATTCTGTTAGTGAATATTGAAGTAATAGTAGCAACGTGGTGCAGACATATACATCAAAATTTATATAAATATAATAGGGTCATGGGTGTACCCGGAGTGAATTTGACTCTGATATATTTATAATAGTCCACAAATCTCTTAAATAAAGCAACTACTATAACTATAATCTCTTAGATCCGATTCAAATCTTGGGATCTAATTATCTTTATTTAGGCCGAGTCTTGAGTTTGGATGGACTCGGCTCATCGTCATCTCTAATAGCTATTACTTATCAATACAGACTTTTCAAAAAATATTAAATTAAATATATAATATTTTTTATTATTTTTTAAAAAATAATTAAAACTCTAAACTAATTTAAAATTCCAATCTAAACGGATCTATTTTTTATAGTAATATTTCAATAATAGATAGATATATATATATATATATATAGTATTGGTACACAAAGGGACAATGTTACATACATATATTACAAGTAGATGTAACGCAATGCAATAATGGCCCATACATTGTCGGTGTGGTGTGGTCGGGCCTGCCGATGCCGATGCCCCTCCAGCTAAAATTAGCAAGGCTCCCGTAACCCTCATCGCCGCTTCCAGACACGTGTCCTTATCCTATTTGTCTGTTACCCACCGGCCCCACGCACTACCCATTCCAGCTGTCACCATTTCTTGCTCCTCCTAATACTCCAAGACAATAATACACCGTCACACCCTTCGCACCGCACCAATATTATTACTCTGTAATTTAAAAAAAATTAAATTTCAATTAATGAATAAATTCACTTCTTTGTCACCATAATTTTATGCGAATCAAAAAAAAATGTTTTCTGTTTTACTGTTGTTTCGAAAACGTGTCGTGAAAGTTACGTGCGATGTTGATGTATTTATTCCTCTAAATGCGACTTAGCTGTGTTTCATGGAAAGGAATTGCGATTCCTTCCGACACCAGTCTTATTGGGCCTTTTTTTTTTTTTTTAATTAATTTTTCTAAATTTTACTAATCATGTCCATGTAAGATTATCGTTTACCTTTTATAGGTAAATTTTTTAATATTAGTATTATAATAAATTATAATAAAAAGACAAAAATACATTTATTGGTATTGTGTAATATAAAAGTAATGATATTTGTGTAATATAGTGTAAATTAAAAAAGTATTTATTATGTTAAATAGATAGTATAGTTACTAAATTGAAAAATAGTAACTTTGTTTTGAAACGGATGAAAATAAAAAATAACAATTTTTTAATAATACGAATAAAGTATTTAAATTTTACGTTTTTCGAAAAAATATATTTATATTTCATTATATTATTTTAATATCAAATTTAAACTAAATTTTTCGGGGAAAAACCAAAAGAAACACACTTATTATTAACCCATTTCAATTTATTTATCTATTTACGATAATAATTACACAAATTATTATTATGGCCGTAAATATATATTTATTTATTTATGTTGTAATGGCTACGCTACATTTTTAATTTTGATTTAATTTTATTAAGATGGTACACGTGGCGAGATCGCGGACGATCACATGCCAAGTGGACCCCAATCCAGTCTGTTAAACTCACACATTTTTGTTCCGTCTCTCGCGTGGGTCCCACGCGCGGGCGGCCTTCTTCTCTGGGTTTTTTCGCTATTTATTTCGCACGCTGTTGCGGGAAGTTTCTACTCACATATTTACGCTGCATTGCTGCGATTTCGATCGGCCGTCGATATGGATCGGAGAAATGCATTTTTTGTAGTGTTCGTTTGCATCGTCGCCGTTACCGTCGGCGGTCAGTCGCCGGCGTCGGCTCCGGCGAAGGCTCCTGCCGCATCTACTGGCTCAACTCCGCCGCCTACTGCTTCACCGCCTACAACGGCTGCTCCTCCGACTAAAGCTGCTTCGCCGGCGCCGGTGTCGAGTCCTCCCGCCGGAGTTCCTCCTACGCCGGTCTCTACTCCCCCCGCCGTCGCACCGGTTTTACCCCCGCCGGCGGCAACTCCACCGGTTTCAGCTCCGGTTATTCCTCCGCCGACCGCACCGGTTACCTCGCCGGTGAGCTCACCACCGACACCTGCACCTGTTCAGTCTCCGCCGTCTCCCGCACCGACAGTCGCGACTCCTCCGGCGGCGTCTTCGCCGCCGGTACAGGCGCCGGCGCCGGCTTCAGTTCCGCCATCTGAGGCGCCGGCTGGGGCACCACCGGTTCAGGCTCCTGCTCCAGCTCCGGCTCTGCTCGGTCCACCCGCGCCGCCGACCGAAGCTCCCGGACCGGCCGGTTCGGACTCTATTTCTCCGGCTCCGTCGCTCAGCGATCAGGTTCGCATTTTCTCTCTGCTACATTCTAACGTAATTATGCATCTATTCTCTAAGGTGCGCCGGATCTGCTGTTGGTTTCCAGATCTGGAATCTTCCGGCAATATCTTCGCATTTTTAGATAAATATTCAGCACGATCTCCACATCTGCTTCACTAAAAAAGGACAATGCAAAAACAAATCACCTGTCGGTTTTTCCAGATCTCTAACCCTAACCACATTCTCACCACCTCGTACAATGTTCGCCTCACCGACTCAGTGCATTCTAGCTCCGTTCTGCTATAATGCGCCGAGTTCGGTCAGCGCACAATAGCACTATCGTCACGTGACGACCTCGTGCCAGCTGCAGTCCGCTTTCCGACACAGTTTACATTTCCTGTCTTGGCTATAACAACAGTACAGTTTCTCATATGCATTTTAGACTGTAGTTAAATCCGCACCGTAGAGAACTCGTCCGTATTAGGACACAGCGAATCCTGCTGACCTCTCCGGTGCGGTGCGGTACAGTGAGAGTCAAAATGAATTTATTAATAATAATCCACATAGTTAGATCACTAAAAATTGTTAATTTATTGATGCTTAGATACTAAACTTGTTTAAATATTGCTGATACTCTGTAGATTTATTTTTTACTCGCTTGCTAGATTTGATTTGTATGTAGGGACAATGAATAATTAAATAATTAGGGAAATAATTAGTATTATGAGCTAGTACAGCTGGAATATTGAATTTTGGAAAAATGGTTTACCTACCAAACAGGGCCTTACAAATTTGTGTATGTGCAGAGTGGGGCAGACGCATTGATGGGAGGTCAGAAGGTGGTGAGTATGGCAATTGGAGGGGCACTGTTTGGATGGCTATTGTTGTTTTAGGGCATGAGATTTTTATTATTTTATTTATTTTGGCTGGAAAAAAAATCTCATAAATGTGCCTTAGCTTGTGGGCCCCATCGACACTATTATTATATTATTATTATTGATTTGGTTGGATGGATAGTCAGAATTATTATATTTATATTTATATTTATATTTATGTATTTGGTCTTTTGTGGATATGTGTTTTGAAGATGAGATTTTTGAGGGGCAGATCTGTTACCTGTTGTTAATTTTTATTTTTTTTTTCAATTTATTTTATTTTATCTGTATTGCTTTTTTTTTTTTTTTGTCCCTACTTTGTGATATTTAAATTCCATTGATTGATTTATGGATTTTGAGCATTTAAAGGGTGGCGATGATTGCGGTTACCTTTTGTTGTGGGATTTATTGAATTGAAGAAAAATAAAAGTAGTGTGCAAGAAGCATAAGAGTAATAATATTTAAAAATATAATATATAATGTATACAAAATAGCAAAATTATGAAATACATAAAAGTAAAATAAAATTACCCAAAAGTTAAAAGTACTACTGCTATATTAAACTACATTCTTTTTTAACTTTTTTATATGTTACAATAAAAAAAAATTAAATTAAATTAACTCAGGGGTTGTTTCTTTAACATAACTTTTTTTAAAAAATTAATATATTATACTCTTTCTGTTTCAATACAATAGTTTTGTTTATCATTTTTATTCGTCTCAAAACAATAGTTTTATTTTCATAAATAATTATATCCATTGTAAAATTATCTTTATTTTATTATTATTATTACACAATTGCTATTACTTTTTACACTAATACATTCACAAGGGTAAAAAAGTCTTTTATCCGTACATTTTTACCCACTCTTGTGTCAAATACAACCTAAACTATAGTTCGGAACGGAGGGAGTATATATTTATTATTTTTATATTATTTATACAATTCTCTATATTTCGTATCAAAATAATTTTTCAAACCAAAACACATAACAAATACCACCTATATGTTTGTTATTTTGAAATTGTAAGATTAATACTGCCTCCGTCACTCTATTTATATTTATTTTTTTCATATTGATCTTTTAAATATTATTTATTATATCAAAACATAGTACAAATTAAAAATAATAATAATAAAAATAGTTATATTAGTGTCTTATAATACTAATAGAATGACGTTTATATATAAAAAAAATTATAAAAATATAAGGATATTTTTAATGTTAAATAGAATGACACAAAATATAAATATAAATTTATTAAATGGACGAAATAAATATTATTTATCTGTAAAAATTTCAATAAAAATATAATATTTTTTCACAAAATATTATATGAAAATATTATTTTAAATTTAAATTTAAATTAATATTTTATTTCAAATCGATTTCAGAATACAAATAATAATGAATAACTCATCATAATAACGAAATATTTTGAAAATTATATAAATTACTTAATATGGTGAAAAAAAAAAAATAATATAGAAAACATGAGTACATAAATTAATTGTGGTATATTTGTGAATAAATTTCATATTTTGTGATATAAAATAAAAGTATTTCAAAAAAAGAGAATGAATTAATAACATGAGAGAATTTGGAATAAATTAAACATTTAAATAGTTATAGTACATTTGCAAATAAATAGAATATTAAATTATATCAATTAAAAAGTATGCCAAAGAAAAAATATATATATACATATTATAAATAATAATGGAATATTTTTGTTAAAAAAAAGAATTAAATAGACAAAAAATACCTCAAATGTAGAATGGAAATTCACCTTGAGTTGTGAATATATTCTTTTTACCTTTTCAAATTTGTTATTATTATTGTATTTTTATTTCTCATATTTATATATCCATTTGTTTTTTATATGGAATTTTAAAAATATTAATATTATATTGAGATAAAATATAAATAAAAGTAAAAAGACTAAATTAATCGTATTAGTATGGTATAATATAAAGGTAATGACATTTGTGTAATATATTGTAAATTGAAAGGGTATTTGTATTGTTAGGTAGATAGTACAATTATTAAAAAAGAAATTAATATCTTTATTATGAGACAGATAAAAAAGAAAAATAGATAGATTGTTAAAGAGAGTAGTTAATAAAAAATTTATTTAAAAAAAAAAATACATTTGTTGAAACTTGAAAGAGTAGTGGTGTTTGTCGCATTGATGAGAGGGGTAGAGAGGCAACGGTCAATGGCATTGTATTGGTAGGGTATGTTGGTTGTCTTTCATTTAAATTAAATTTGTAATAATGGAAATGTAAATAGAAATCAATCAATTTATTACTCTCTCATTCCCATATAATTTGTCCCTATTTTTATTTTCGTCTGTTCCACATAACTTGTCGTTTCTATTTTTGGAAATATAATTATCGCATTTTTAATTATAATTTTCTTAATTTTAATTAAACTATTTACTTATTTTAATTTTAATCTATAATTATTTTTACTAATATATTTTTTAATTATTTACTAATTATACTTTACCTTCTCATATTTACTGTAATAGGTCCCATATTTTTATGGGACAGAGGGAGTATTTAGGTAGTGGTAAATAAATGGCAATATATATTTATAATTTATTTGGACTTGCGAGGATTGGTTGGTTACTTCATAATAATTAATACTCCACTATCTATTCATTAAATCAATAATATTTATTATGTATGATTTCTAATAAAAATACATTATATTTACTCATATAATATTAAACCAAATGAAGTATTATTTAAATAAAATTAAAATCAATATTTGATTTCAAATCAATTTATATGTTAGTAAAGAAATACTATTATCTTCGTCTCACAAGTAAGTGTTCGTTTGTTTTTTATACGGAGTATAAAGTATATTAATATTATATTGATATGTAATAGGAATAAAATAGAAATGACTAAAATAATTTTATTAGTATTGTGTGATATAACGATAATGACATTTGTGTAATATATTGTAAGTTGTAGGGGTATTTTGTAATGTTAGTTAGATAATACAATTATTAAAAAAAAAAATTGATACTTTGTTATAAAATGAATCAAAATGGAAAAATTGATAGTTTGTTATGAGAATGATGGAGTATTCTTTTCGTCCATTTTAACAGTATATATTTATTTTTAGTGTGGAGTTTAAAAAATAATACTCCCTCCGTCCCAAAACTATACTCTGGATTGTGTTTGATACGAGATTTAAGGAATATTGATATTATTTTAGTAGTGGATAAAAAGTACGGGTAAAAGACTTTTTTGCCATTGTGAGTGTATTAGTGTAAAAAAGTAGTGACAATTATGTAATAATAATAAAAAAATAATGGTAGTTTTATAGTTATATAGTTATTTATGAAAATAAGACTATTGTTTTGGGAAGGATAAAAATAGTAAACAGGACTATTGTATTGGGATGGAGGGAGTAGTATTTTAATTATAATGGGTAATTAAAAATAATGTAAAATAATTTTTTTCTTACTTTTTGGTATAAAAGTAATAATGCTATAATAAATTAAGAATATTTAAAAAAAAAAAAAAAGGATCTATAGTTACTAAAACAATAGTTACTTTATAATTAAACAATTTAAAATAAAAATGTAAATATTTTGTGAATAGAAGCAGAAAGTAATACTCCGTTCATCTCATATTTATCTATCAATTTGATTTTTGCACGAAATTTAAGAAATATTAGTATTATATTATGATGTACTAGAAATAAAGGTTAAAAAAACCAAATTAAACTTATTAGTATTATATGATAGAAATACAATGATATTTATGTAATATATTTTAAATTAAAAAGGTATTTGTAATATTAGGTATATAATACAATCACTAAAAATATAAATAAATGTTTTGTTATTGGACGAATTAGAATAAAAAAATAAATAATTTATTAAGAGACGGATGAAATATTTAATATACAGGGCATAATATGTAAATTTTAAAATTCTATGGAAATAATAAAGTATAAGGATCCATTTCTAATAATAAGTAATGTTTGTTGAGGTTTTAAATGACAAAATATATATTGTTACTGATAAAATATATATATTCTCCGTCCCTTTTATAATACAAATACAATGATATTTTTCGAATAAATTATTTAAATATAAAGATATTTTTAATATTAAGTACAATGACACAAAAACTAAATGACAACCTTCTTGCGAGACGGAGGGAGTATATACTCTTTCTATTCGAGTCAAATGTCTCATTTCATTTTTATATACGGATTTAGGTATATTAATGTAAAATTTATTTTATTATTAATATTATCCGAATTAAAAAAACAAGGAATGAAAAAGGGCGAATTTTGGTATTTAATTTGAAGATATTTTATGACGAAAGTAAACATATATTTTTTATTTGGACGGATAAAAATAATAAAATAGATACATTTGATTCGAACGAAGTACTATTTTTATGTCATTTAAATTTATATTTAATTTTATTTTTAAATCATTATAAAAAAAATACTCTTTTTTTTTTCCGGTAAAGAAACATAGTACTCTTTGTCCCAACAAGGAAGACCCATTTGGTCAGAGATAAGGTATTTTAGATAGTGTAGATTAATAAGTTATGATATTAATAATATTGTTGATATTTTAAATATTTTTAAAATTATATCTCAATAAAATATATGCAATATGAATATTATTTCGTAGATAACAAAATTTTATATAATACAAATAAATAAAAAAATATATTTATAATTATTTATAATGAACTTAAAATTAATACTATAAAAAATGAGAAGTTTTAAATATAATATAAATATTTATTTATTAAAGAGATATACAGACAAAAAAGTTTTGAGTTGGTCCTACATAAAAAGTTAAATATTTAATTAAATTATTTATGTTTCTTAAATATATTTAAGACGATAAATTTACTAAAAATAAAAAATAATCATTAATGAATAATATGTGGCGGGGTGAATAAAATATTAATTTATATTCTTATTATATAAAAAAAATATTAATTCATACTAATTCTCATTAAAATATGCATTTGTATATTTGAGCACAAAAATAAATAGAAGTGGTAGTACTTTGATTTCCTTTGACATCTAATTATCTTTCTTTTTTAAAAAAATAAAAATATTATAAAAAAATATATATACTACTGTTTTTCTTAGTAATTAAATCATAATATATATATTTTTTAACGACAAAAATAAAGAAAAATA